AGTGTGAGAATGCTAATATGTGGGACTTTCAGGCATGTACTTCTTTTCATATAATATTATAATATAACATGTTTCCTGTCTCCCTGGTGTGTATATAGCCCACATTGTTTCCCTTAGTTTTTTTGGTTTATTTTCTTTGTTCGTGTAATTTTCCAAACTGCCATCAAACATGCTGGCAGTCATTTAGCCAACATAAAAACTCTGTAACCAGCATGCCACCTGATGCATGATGCATCGCTTGATTTTGTCATCATCCTGGGTTTGTCTGGAATGTTAACTGTCATCACTTTAACAGGCTCGATGCAGCAATAGTGCATTTCCCATGCCTAGAAAAAGAAAGAACCAAGAACATTGGGTGTCTTCCTCTCACCAGCACATACTATTGAACTAAGCAGTGTTCATTGCATTGACTGGCTGTGCAACGGAAGGACACACTGAACGCAAACTGCAGCCTGCAGTGTTAAAAAGGGGATTTGATGTAAAGATTTTAGGTTAGATTATTAAAAACAAAACAGAGGGATCATAAAGACAGCTTTGAGCAAAAGAAGATTAAAGGTTATTTAGTATTTAGAGAAAAAAGGAGACCCCTTGGCTGCACTACTTCTGGCTTTTCCTGACTATATAACTCATGGATTGCACCACACCCATCTTTGAAGTTCACCTTTACTGAACCCAATACACATGTGTGACTGAATAATTGCACTGGCTGAATCTGTCTACAAAGTACAGATATATAAACACCCCCTACATCTCAAAACCAGCCTAGGTGGTATTTCCTGTTACAATATGTGCTTCCAGAGGCACACTGTGCCATGCTGACAGTAGGGCTGTGCCGTATTACATCAGCCACAATATTATCCTAATAATACTGGTATAAATTTTTATGTGATACAAGAATGTTGTTGTTGTAACATTGCTACAGTGCATTTACATTCTCTATTGCACACAACAACGAGACAAGCCCAAGCATGTCTGAGAGCAAGAGCCATGCGTTAGCCTCCAATTAGGGCTGTTCGATATAAAAACGTCTATCGTTTCATTTTACGCTATCGTTTGTTTCGTGGTGTCGCAAAATAAACTGTTTACGGCAATATTTTTTCATCGTTTTGATGGTCACTGTAGTGGCTATACTAATTTCTTAAAGTTCTCTCTTTCTCTTATATTTTATATAACCCCACTACGGACGGAGAAGCGACTGTTTTTATGTTTTTAGCAACAACGACGGTAACAGCATCGCGTGTCCGCTTGTTTATGTTCCACATAAACCTTTCAAAATAAACTGAATCACATGAAAGAGCAGATTATTTACGGATGAGAAGTAAAAAAGAGCCGCCAGGTGCTAAAAAATAAACCTTAGACTCAAACGTTAGAACAGGCTTTTCCCCGCAGCACGCCGTGTAATAAATACTCACAAAGAAAACGGCGGCTGTTACAACTTATGTCTAAAAATGTATCGTTTCATGCATCGGTTAAAACTAGAGATGGCACGATACCACTTTTTTATGTCCGATACCGATACCAATATCATAAATTTGGATATCTGCCGATACCGATATGAATCCGATATAGTGTTTTTTAATCAACAAAACTGTTTTTTAAAATATCTTGCTGCATTTTGCAAGTCTGCAAGTTCATACTCAAGTTTAAAACAACAACTACACTAAAGCTATTCTGTTATACCTGTATACAAAAAAATATTTCATAGTTCAGCAATACTGATCAATCTAATAAACTTAGACCTACACCATCCTCCCTATTCTGGTATTTTAAAGAGTACTTAGCGTAAATATTAAGCAACCTAACTAATAGGGTTCCAACTCCCAGCAACAACAAAAATAAATAAATAAAAAATAGGGAACCACCCCTCACGCTCCACCTCATGATGCTTAATCAACGTAATCAACCTTAATTTGATGCAGTGTGAAAAAAAATGCACAGAAATCAATTATTTTTCAAGAAATATTAAATAGATTCAACATCTTTCTTCAACAAAATTGCAGACTGCACAGATGGTACCTTCCCAAAGGAAAATGTACTATAGCTTACTAGGGTATGTATATTAGACTTAATAGTTACTATATACAGTAATTGACTTCTATTCATTTTACATCAAATTAAAACTTTGGGTGTCAGATAATTATTTATTAAAAGCTAGACATTTTAAATGAGAATAAGAAAGAAAAGTATGTCTTTGTGCCCCCTTTTCCCAGTTAATGCCCTATCGGCCCCCCTGGCTAAACTTTGCTAGATCCGCCCCTGCACAGTTACCAGCCATCAGCTACTAGAAAAAGATCCTGGAGTAGAAAGTAATATTAAATAAATTCTAACAACAGCTTATCAAGCTTAAACGTTCTGCTGTTGTTCAGCCGCTGGTTTGCTCTTTCTGGCGCAAAGTGGACCAAAAACAAACCAGAGAGACGGACTCGCGACAGAAAAGCCGATCAGCTGATCATTAGCAGTTTCACGATTGAAGTAGCAGCCGGAGAGCGAGAGGCAGTCGCTCGTTAAGCTTAACGTGGGAATGCTTTACAAACATTCAGAGATGGACTTACACACTTGCTTTACTTCTCTCGGGGATAACTTTGTCGGAGATGAAATGCCAGGTTGCTAGCGAAGCTCCAAATGCTATCCAGACCACCGACAGGTCCCGCATGCCACAGCTGCTCTATCACGTGATGCATACTGCTCCGACGTTCTGAGGCGAGTTACGGCGTGTTGCAAGTTTTGTGAGGTGCTTTCGTGATATTTAATGGATCGGATTACATTTTTTATTTTTCTCCGATATCCGATCCAGTAATTTAGGTCAGTATCGGACCGATACCGATACGTAATATCGGATCGGTCCATCTCTAGTTAAAACACTCGACTCCAAGTACACGACACGCAGCTGGAAACACTTCCCGCAAGACGAGCTGCCCGAGATTCACAGAATTTACAGAAAATGTTACATTTTTGTGATTTATATCGTTATCGGACGATAGAATTCTTATATCGGGATATGAGATTTTGGTCATATCGCACAGCCCTACCTCCAGTGATGATTTACTACCTATAAAAGGAGCTACCTCAACAATCTCCAACATAGCTGTTCCCACCAAAGGTGAAAACAACAAACTTGTTTCACCATTTGAGGAAAAACATAGAGTACAACCAGGCTACAAGGGCATAGACAGTAAGTAGCTGGTAATTTGAGACACAAATGCAAAACTAGCACTGGCTAGTTGGGCTCCATATGACAGGAAGAGCAAATGGTAGATGGAAATTACTGATGTGGTTGCAGCAGGTAAAAGCAGGGCTTTAAGCAAGCCAAGTTACAACATCACAGGTAGAAAACTTTTTTCAGTTTTATTATGTGAAAATACTCCTTAAGCGTTGAAAGGTTATGTTAACTTCAATGATTCTTAAACAAAATTAAGTAGTTATGTTACACTTTTACTACCTAGGTTACTTTTGTGCCTACATTTGGTTTATGTTGTAGCTGGATATAATCATGTGTCACTACTATTGCAGTGTAATGCAACTGCTGCCTGCACCTTGTTTCAGTAGGTTCCAATTAGGTAGTATTAGATCAGTGACAGTCACACATCGGAAAAGAGGGATGGAAAATGCCCCTCATTTATTTACTTATAAATGCTGCTGTTTGCAGCCTGCAAGGATCGATAAAACGTTCAGTATTTTTTTTTCCTGTAATGACTTCTTGAAATACCATGATATATTTTTGAAGCTATATTGCTCACTTCTAATTGAGACGTACAAACACACACAGCTAGCCATACCACATGTTTGCAGCTGGTAACAAAGTATGATGACTACTCTCCAAATGCCATAGTGTGGGACCATGTGATTTCGCTCTATTACAGCAAACACTGAGCCTTGGTGAAGTTTTGGTAGGTTCAAGGAAATATCTGCAAATTAATGTGGTTGTTGTAGGTACTGTTGGATATGGAGTAATGTTAAAACTATTTACATATGCAGCATTGTGCAAAAGTCTTGAGCCAATATCATTTCTTTATATTTTACTAGCAAAACGTGAATTAGGTATAGTGACTTTTTGAAACGTGCAAGCATAAATGGAAATACAACACATAAGACAAAATCAGAGTTTGGAGAATTCCAATGAGCAATCAAATTCAAATCATAGTTGATATATGGTATGACCGCTTTTATTCTTCAGCACAACTCTCATAGGCAGCTTTCCAGTCGTTTCTTAAAGCAGTTCTCCAGGCTTCTTGAAGGACATTCAAAACTCTTTAGATTTCGGCTGCCTTTTGCTCTGTTTTCTGATGTTCAAGATGATCTTCCACTACTGTTGAGGTCCAGGCTCTGTGGAGGCCAATCCACCCACAACACCACTGGCTTTCTGAAGACCCAAACCATGACAGTGCCTCCACCGTGTTTTCCAGATGGCTGTCTCTCTTTCCTGACCTCCTCTGTACACATTGAAATTTCTGTTTTAAACTGTTGTCAAATTTGGATTTCATGAGATCTGTTGACTCTCTTTCAGTCCAGTTCTTGTGTAATTTGCCATAAATCAACCTTTTCTCCCAGTTTCCCTTAAGAATGGCTTCTTGACAGCCACCCTTCCACTGAGACCATTTCTGACGAGACTTCTGCAAAAGTGCAGGACCTCTCCGGCCCTATACCAGGCTTTGCTGAATAAAAAGACTATTTTATGTCTGCCATAATGTTACTGTATGTTTGGCATTTAGCAGAGATTCAGGTAAAGGAACTGGGAAACATTATACGTTTTGTGACAGGCAGAAAGTGCCCAACACTGCAATTTATGTGTAGATACAGTGTTGTATTCCTGTGAAAATGGTCAGGACTAAACTGACAATTAGTGTAAAAGCAGCAAACATCCAAAGAACAACTTTGAAATACCTTCAGAAAGCTCAAACTATTGTTCAAGGCCACTTTTTTAAAATTATGAGCCTGGGTCCTTGGAAGCGTGAGGTGGCTCACGACTTTTGCACAATACTCCGTACAGAGATGAGACTTACCTGAGCCTCTCTTCGACACAACTTTCAGGCAGTGGACCACAACAGCATGAAGCAGGATCAGAAGAGGGATGGGAGCTTTCATTTTTTTTTTTATCAGTCCTACAAAGAAAGAAAAGCATGTGTTATAACTCCATACTGAGGCAAGCTGTGAATGTGCTGAAACCATCCAAGAAAAATAAAAGACAATGATTTTGGCAGAAGATGTTTCCTTAAAAAAAAAAAAAAAAAAAAAAAAAAAAAAAAGGTCCTGAGCCAATAATTACAGAGTTTCTATCAGCCTTAAGGTCAGTTGGAAAAAAATCAGCATCTCTATGTGCAAATTTTGTTTATCTGCTTCTGCTTTATTTATATTAGCACCTCTTCAGGGACTTATTGTATAATCAGGGCAATGCTGTTAATGAAATGTCAAGATGCATCTCTATCAAGCCAAACCAGGCTTTTCTGCTTTGTCAACTACCTTCAACACTCATCCCCCTTTACTTGCAACCAAAATAACACAATCAGGCGCCTGCTCAGCTCTGGGTATCTCTCTGTGAGCACAAATGTTCGGAAATGCTCTGTGAGAAGTGGATAACAGTGAATCTGGCTTAATATATTGAAAACTCCTTAAATTGTAGCTTGTAGTGACACTAATTGCGGTGATAATGGGGATAAGATGGCATTTCAATCGATGCCAGTCAAACGCAGTAGGTTTAAAGCTATTACACTCCAATTACGAATTCCTGCCTGAATCCATGTGTGTGCTAGAATGATGAACTTAAACACTCAATTAACTGTCATTATGATGTATGTATTATGGGATATTTTAATGTAATATGCAAGACAGGTCTGTTTCCTAATAAAGAAAAGAAATGTATCTTTGCATTAAAGACAACGACTGCCCCAAACCATCTCTGCGCTTACTCGGGTCCCCTGCAATACACAGGAGTATGCTGAAAATGATGGATTGACGAACACACAGGGATTCTTTGATTTATTAGTGAGATGATAAAGTACACCTTCAAGCCAATTTAATCTAAGATAAAACAGATGGGCCCAAAGTTCGCTGCAGTTAATAGTGTTTATTCAGACTTTGCCAGCAGCTACAAACATTCCTCAGCAATACACTTGGTTCTAAAATTCCTCCATAGGCTACAAGGGTCCTTCAAATGGCATTTCAGTCAGGACAAAGATGCTTCACATTGAAGCCTGAAAAGCTGTATCAGAAAGCCTTTTTGGAGAAACTCTGAACTCTTGAGAAATTCGGAGGCATGCGAAACTGGGCAGCAGCCAAATATGGCGACATTGCTGCGTTCCCTCTTGTCAAAGGCTTATTGTCATCGGCTCTTGCTTTCTGCAACCAATGCCACCTCAGAAAAGCTACACGTCACTACAGAAAAATCTTATCTTTTTAATTAGTTTTCCATGGTGGGTGCAAGTCTGCAACATTAGCACAAAACCTGTGGCCCCTTTCTTTGGTTTGAACACAGAGGAAGTAACTGAATCACCAGTTCTGTTCTGTGTCCCTGCGGCTAACAGTGATATCCAAGACTGTAAAAATCAAAGAGAGCACCACTGAAAAGGTTAAGAAAGTGCACTCGTGATGTGCTGTAATTAATTTTGTTGGTACTGACTATACTGATGAGGAAAATACAGTAATGCTCTTATTCTCTTGGGGTGTAAATATAGCTTTGCCAAAATAGGAACAAATGATGGGTTTAAATATACAGAAGAATCAGGTAGTGGGAGGAAATTGGCTCCATAATTCAAGTTTCACAAAGCTGTTGTTGAAGATACTGGTCTATTTTTTCATAGGAACTTGAGAAATATATGATCCAAGTGTACAGACATGCAACAGTAAGGTATCGTGGTATGATATTACAAAAATGGATAAAAGCGAAGAGACAAAATAGGATATGCAATGCCAGCTTTATCCTCCAAAATTAAATAAATAAATTCAGCACTGCATTCAGTGTTTTATCATTAAAATATATTTTAAAACTAGTTTATTTATTTAGGGTGTGATGTGGACTATATAGAGCAAAGTTAGTTTGGATTATTGACATTTGAGCCTTTATTGATGGTGAACTTCAAGGGGTGTTGAAAAGTCTTACAGTCTGAGAGAAGAAGCTGCCCCGCCGTCAGCAGACTCTTGCATCTCCTGCCAGAAGAGCAGCAGGGTAAACAGACTCAGTCTGGACCAAATGATGTCCTGTTCTGTGGGCTCTGTGTATGCAGTGAGTCTTCCCAGTGCTGAACATAGATGCAACACCAGTGTTTTGTAAGGAATCCATACAGTGCTGATAAAACTTTGCTTATGTTGTTCCAAGTCAAAGTTTTTGAATTGTGAAAAAACCTTGTGCACACTGTACTAACAGTTTGGGCCATACATTTAGGATAATGGCAGATCCTTTGTAATTTTCCTTTTGTATACTACCACAGTGAATTTTAAGTCAGAAAATCAAGATGTGATTAAAGCACAGAATTTCAGCTCTATTTCCAGGGGTTTAACAAAAGTATTAAAATAGAAATTTAGATATTACATCCATTTTTATACACAGTGTGTCCAGTTACTGATTAGCCCCTGAAAATAGGAAGACTAACATAAATTTAAATATAGGAATATAAGGTACTTTTCTTAAACCCTCTGGAATGAGTGACTCCTTGAACTCTAGAAGCCATGGAGTAAATACTGTGTTTCCTCCCTTGAGATGCTCTGTGGGGCCTTTGATGCAGCCACCGTAAGTTGGTACACGTTTGTGACTTTCTGCCTTCAGTTTTGTCTTCAGAGTAAGCGTGCTCTATTGGGTTCAGATTAAGGACATCGAAGAATGTCCCATTTCTTTGTCTTGAAAAACTCTTTGGTTGCTTTTGCACTATGCTTTGGCTTATTATCCATCCAGAGTACAGCCCTGTAGACTTCAGAATATATCCTGCTACTTCAATCAGCATTCACATCATCAATAAACACTAGTGATCCAGTTTCACAGGCCCATGCTGTAACATTGTCTCCACCATGTTTAACCGATGATGCAATATGATTTATGAGCTCTCTCTATACTTTTCTCTGCCCATCTGTCTGGTACAAATTAGTCTTGGTCTCTCCAAAGTATACTTTTCACAGCTGTGCAGGCTCTTTCAGATGTTTTCTGGCAAACTCTTATTTGTCATTCTTGTTCGTGAGTGTAGTCAATGGTTTGCACCTTGTTGTAAACCCTTTGTGGCTACATTCATGAAGATATCTCTTGATTGCAGACACTGAATTTGCCTTAACTTGACTTACTTTGATGTGGTGAAGAAGATTTTCTTAACCAAGGAAAGAATTTGTGATCACCCACTTTAGTTTTCATTCGTTGGACCACATATTGCCAGTTTAAAAAAATAAAAATAAAAATCCAAGCCCATAAAACTGCATGTCAATCAATTTTCTGGTTACTGCTGAAACCCCTTGAATTGAAGCTGAAGGTCTGCACTTCAATCACATCAATGATTTCAACTCCACTGTAATGTTATACAGAGGAATAATTACAAATGCTGTGCCACTGTCCAAAAACACATGGACCTGACTGTATGATGTGGGCCTGTGGCTGTCAATCCCATCAATCGTGGGTGTGGTTGTCCTGAATTCAACTGCAGAAGGCAGCCCTTAGTTGAGCTTGTAAAAAAAATGTTTGCGGAGTAAGTGGTTGCTATTTTGTGCCAACATGAAAAACAGAATTCCGTTCACTTCGGGCATATTTGAGCATCAGGTGAAACTTTTGAGCGTTTTGTGAACAATTGTGAAACGTCATGCAAAAAGCACAAAATATATTAATTCGGCATACAAGCTGATGCATTCATCTGGCAGCCAGGTTTTCTTGTGTTTGCAATCCATCATTTCTCACTGAGGTTGGTGTTTGAAGCTTTTTTTATGGCTGCAGTCGACTTTGAACAGCTTGCTTTTTTTGTTTAACAAGATATCTCTCTAACCCTAAATATCCTATCATCTTCCTCCTCCCAGCATGATCGGTTAATTATAACAACACTCTGTGGTTACTCCTTTTTTATCGGTCTGTCCAATAGAAAGCATAGATTTGCCACAGTTCAAGCAGTCCATAGTTTCAAAATTGATTGCACTGATTACTCGAGTATTGAGTAGACTGGCATGAAAGCCAATGAAAGTGATCTGATTGCTGGTGGCAGACAGGGCTTGTAGCCAGCAGGAATGTTTGACTGCACTCATACCCGACAAGTCCAAGAAAAAATATAATTAAGTTAGACTTGTGTTGTCTAACTTTCATGCTCTGGGTCTGATGTTGCTGGAGTATGTTTAAGAAGATGGCCACATACTCAAGGGCTTATTGAGGTCAAACACCCAAGTTGTTATCAGTAACCATGAAACGCGTTTCGATGTATTATTGTCGCTATCGTCTTACTTCTTGGCACATGGTTATGAGCCATTGAGAAGGGAAAGATTCAGTGCAGCTGTCGAACTGTCAGAAATATGATCAGAAACACAATAGAGTGGAAAGAAGAGATATCCTCCTTCAAGAAATGAATGGATACTAGATGTCCAAGAAAAATATGAAATTGTTTTTTGGGGTTTTTTAAATCCTCCCTCAAAAATCCCCCTGTGAAAGCTTGTCCTGTCAAACATTTCACAGTGTATCATCCTTTAAAGAGAAGCTCATCCAAAAGGTGCTGTCACCTGCCTCTCATTCCTTGATTGTTTTTTTCCTCAAGCCTCCACTTTCGTCTTTACCCTGACAGTGCTTCCTTCTCAGTGGATCCATCCAAAATTCAATTATTTTTGAGGAGGGTTCAGGAAGAGAGATGGGGCACTCTCTCAACACTCTCGGGGTTCAGAGTTAGCCCCAAGGAATGCATCTCAGAGTCACGCGCAAACAGTTTCGCAAATCTATGACCGAGACTTTAACGCTTTAGTACAGCTCGCCAGATGGACTTTGAGATGATGATTTATACGGATCTCTAATTTTATATCTCTCTTGCTCTGTCACACACTTTTGGGAGTTCACATTGAGGGTCCCCTTTCCTTCTTCCTCAGCCATATCTAATGTTTCTTGATGACGTTCGTTTCTCTGTTACCCGGGAAACCAATGGGAACTAACAGGAAGAAGCAA